CCCCTTGATCTAGGCCTCTCTAACCACTTAGCCATTCTCTTCAATCTGGAATTACCTGTTTCTAACACCTCCTCCCCACGCTCTGTAAATTTCCACAACTGGCGATCGATTGATCACCCAAGGTTTGCAAATTCTGTTCTGTCCTCCTTATCGTTTCTCTTCCTCTGACCTTCTAGAGGACAAAATAGAGTTACTTGACAGTGCTCTTTTATCTACCTTTGACACCTTTGCTCCTTTGAAAACTCGAACATCTCTTTCTCTCGCCCTGCCCCCTGGTACAATGACCATCTGTGATCCATGAAGGCAGCCTTTCACAAACTTGAGCATAGGTGGCGTCTTTCCAGCCTAAATGTACATTATCAGGCTTGGAGATATTACTTATCTGATCATAAGGTTACCTGCTAGATCCACCTACTTCTCTCACACCATTGAAAATCACCAAAACAACCCCAGAAATCTTTTCTCCACCATCAACAGACTGCTCAAGCCAAACTGCCCTAACACATTACCTGCCTCATCACAACTTTGCAACACATTCTTAGATTTCTTTAGTTCTAAGATTGACAACATCCGGCATCACATTCTCTCCACTACGCATATAATTTCCATACCTCCTCCCTCCTCATCCAAATTTCTGGTTTCCTTCTCTCCAGCTTCTCTCTTCTTGACTCAGCATCCCTCAACAAACTAGTTACGTGCATGAAACCCACCACATCTATCTTAGATCCCATTCCCACCACTTTATTCCAGTCCTGTTTCTCTTCTCTCTGTCCCATTGTCCTCAATATTTTACATGAATCCATGAGCACTGGCGTTGTACCAACAGTCCTCAAAACTGCTGCCATTACCCCAGTGCCAAAAAAGCCTAACATGGCTCTCGACAATCTAAACAATTTTCGCCCCATCTCCAACTTACCCTTTCTTTCTAAAATTCTAGAAAGTGCTGTCACACTTCAGTTACATAACCACCTGATGACAAACAACCTTTTTGAACCCCTCCAATCTGGCTTCCGTCAACTTCACAGCACAGAAACAGCCCTGGTCAAACTCACCAACGATCTTCTAATAGCTTCTGATTCTGGTTCTCTTTCCATACTCATCCTTCTTGATCTCAGTGCTGCTTCTGACACTGTTGACCATAACATCTTACTCTCTCGTCTTGAGACTGTGTTTGGAGTTTCTGACACTGCCCTCAAATGGTTCAAATCTTACCTCACTGATCGCTGTCACTTTGTCTCTTTTAATGGGTACAGGTCTGAAATTGGTCTTGTTAAGTCTGGTGTCCCTCAGGGCTCAATACTGGGCCCCTTGCCCTTCAGCATTTACATGTTCCCTCTTGGTCAGCTTTTAAGATCACATGGCCTCAGCTTTCATTTTTACGCTGACGATGCTCAAATATACATCCATACCAAACCTGACACTGATGTGGCTGTCTCTATTCTATCTAATTGCATCTCTGACATAAAAATTTGGATGACTCAAAACTTCCTTCATCTCAACTGCGACAAGACTGAAGTCATGCTTATTGGTACTCCCCATCGACTTCGTAAAGCCAGTCCTGTAACCCTTTCTGTAGATAGCTCTGTACTTGAGCTTCAATCAAAATTGAAAAACCTTGGGGTTATATTCGATTCTGGCTTAACATTCAACCCACATGTGCAGCATACTTTAAAAACATCTTTTTTTCACCTTAGAAATATAGCAAGACTACACCCTATGCTATTATTAACTCTGGCTGAAAAGCTGATCAACACATTTGTATTCTCTCGAATTGACTACTGAAATGCTCTACTCGCAGGGGTGTCAAAATCTAGTCTGAACAAGCTGCAGTATGTCCAAAATTCAGCAGCCAGAATCCTGACCAGGTCTAGTGCAAGTGTTCACATTACTCCTGTCCTGGAGTCCTTGCACTGGCTTCCGGTCAAATTCCATGTAGACTTTAAAATCCTCATGCTCACCTATAAGGCTCTGCATGGCTTGGCACCTCAGTACCTGTCTGAACTATTATCGCCCTACTCCCCACCTCGCAACCTCTTCAAATTCTGCCCTCCTTACTGTCCCCCAAGCCCGTCTACATTGTATGGGTGACAGGGCCTTCTCCTGTTATGCCCCCAAGCTCTGGAACTCTTTGCCCAAGGATATCAGAGAGTCACCTTCTCTAAATTCCTTCAAATCCAGACTCAAAACCCTCTTCTTCAGAAAAGCCTTTACTTAACTGGTTCAGGCTCCTTCAAGGTAAAAACCTTTATTGGGTAGAGGAAGGGGGGGCAGAGTGGGACTCTGGGGACTGAGACAAAAAACATGTACAAATACAAAGGCACATACAACAAAAAATAAACCTGGGAGACCAGGGAAACAAACTATACACAATAGAAAGGAACCAAGAGTCCAGGGAAACAGGGGTCAGGGAGACCAGGGAACACAGAAACCAGGAAGTGAGAGACCAAAACACCAAGAGAAAAAGAACAAAGAAACAACAAAAAACTCGGGAACAAAAAATAGAAACACACAGCACAAAAGTTCAATATTCTGTCACGGATGCCGGGAGTAAAATCCCTTGGAAAGCTAGGTATTTGTACGCTTTTGTGTGCTTAACTATGCAAGTAACCATACATTGTGTGAATACAGAACAGAAGACCAGAAGACAAAGGAGGAGAGGAACCAAAAACTCCTTAGTAAGGAGAAAAAACCCTCTAGGGGTCCAATGTCAACTGGCTGTTCAACCCCGATGGGCACGCTAACATTATACAATAAAAACAGGAAATAAATGAATGCGGGTTTTAATCCATCCATCCATCATATACGTCAGTAATCCATGCAGATCTCTGTAGACCAGCAAAACGATAGCTATATCCACGATGCCTCTCTTGTATCCAAGGTGGATCAGAATAGATGTATCTACCTGGTGGGCCAACATAGAGACACACAATGGCATGTACCAGAGCACCAGCAGCCGTGGTTGCAGCAGGCTATAATGTAAGGTGTGAGCAGGCTAGGCTGAAGTAATAGGTCTTCAGTCTGGATTTGAATACTGAGATTGACTTGGCATCCCAAATGGGAGACTGTTTCATAAGTTAGGGGCCCTGTAACTAAAGACTTTACCGCCAACTAAATTTTGTATTATTGCGTGAAATATGAAGAAGACCTGCATTCTGT